TTAAAACTATTAAACAATTTAGTAATAAGTAATGAGGAAATAAAAAAACAAAATGTTGATATAAAAAATAAGTTGTAATATTAAGAAAAGAACTAAACAGTGATATTGAAGTATTGAGAAAGGAAAACAATGAACTTAAAACGGCACTGAATAATTTAAAAAATAAAACTTTAAAAAATGATAGAAAACTGAAAAAATGCAATTTGGTTCTTTACGGTTTGAAGGAAAATTATAATGGAGGTGAACTACAAGATATCAATGATGTAATTGAATTGATAAAAAACCGTCTTGATATAGAATGCAAGTTTCATGATGTAAGGGATATATACCATATACCGTATAGGTATGGTAAAAGAGAAAACAGAAAACCCAAGACCTGTGGTTCTAGAACTAATTCATTATAAACTAACAACAACTATACTAGAAAATTAGTCGCGCTTTAAAGATTCAGGAATCTTTATATCAAGGGATTATATTCAGGAAGACTACCAGGATCGTAAAGTTTTGTATAAACATCAAAAACTAGCCAGAATAAACAAACAGGAAGCGTATATCAAGAAGAATATATTGATTGTCAATAGTAAATAATTCACTGCTAATGAATTACACAAAATTTCAGATAAAGACTTTATTTTTCTCAATAACCAAAATTCCAAACATATTCTGATAATCGGAAATATACTGATCCCTCGGATACTGAAGAAGGACTTAATAGAAGAGTGACAAGACAAACCAGTCACAGTTCTCAAAAAAATATTCTATAATGAAATCTAGTTAAAAATTGTAATAAAGATTATTGTCAATAGTGTTTGTGCAATTTGTCTACTCCTTACTAGGTCGTAGGTTTTAACTACTTATCTTTCAAAAATTATTTGAGTGTCGTATTCTAATACTCATTCTTTATTAAATTATTTTTAGTGTGTTTTGTTATAGCTGTAAGAAATAAATTTTATTTATAAAATGAACCCGTATATACGTGATATAAATTATTCTCCAGTAAACATAACAAAAATTTCAGAAATTACGCAATTGAACAATTTGATGAAACAATATGATTATGACAAAAAATTAAATTTTAAACTAATCCATCAAAACAGAAGTATATACAAAAATTTAATTAAAAATTCACTTAAGTCAAATCGAATTTGATGTCGATTGCATATGTCTAAGCGAGACCCTAAAAATTACTTCATGCTCATTATTTGATTTATCTGGTTATGATATTATATACATATAATGAAGGCGATGTAAATAGAAACGATGGAGTTGTTGTTTTTATTAAGAAATCGTTAAAATATTCGTGTAAAATTATCCCTATTAATATATTTAAAGCAATACAAATTAAAATTTTTAATAAAAACGATAACCCAACCCTAATTACTATTCTACGAGTATACAGATCACCCTCAACAGATGAAATCTACTTCATTGAAGGCTTAAGAAACTACCTTGATGATTCTAAAAATATTCCAGCTAAATATCACATTTTAGCGGGAGATATTAATATTGATATTAATGTTGAAAATGAAGTTTCATCTGAATAGACTGTCTCAGTGAAAATGATTTTGTTTCTGCCATAAATAAAAGTACTCGAATTCAGGGTGAATCGAGAACATGTCTAGATCACATATTTGTGAAGGGAATTGAAACTCGTAGATAACAGTTTTATATCAGCGGTACTAGACCTTAATGTAACTGATGATAAAGCTACCTTCATTGCTCTTTCAAATAAAAAACAAATGAAAACACCTGAACGTACAAAAATATATACAAATCACAAAAGAATTAAGGATACGTTGCAGACATGTGACTGGACTTATTTCTGCAATTTAGATGATGTAGAATCCATGACAAAGGAGCTTACAAATATAATAAAATTAGTCCAGGATAATTCTCATAAAATAAAGATACACAAAAAGGATGTAAAAAGAAAGTTATGGATTACCGACGGACTCATAGCGTCTATTAATAAAAAAAACGAACTTTACAAAACACACAAACAAAACCCTGAAAATTTGGAATTAAAAAATAGATTTATAAAATATAGAAATAAGTTAACAAAACTTGTCTCAGAAGCAAAAAGAAAATACTTCCAAAATGAAATAGATAAACATAAAAATAGCTCTAAAGGTCTTTGGAAAACAATTAAACAAATAAGTTGCAATGAAAAAAAAAAAAAATGAGATAACTGAAATATGTTCTAATGAAAATATTGTAATAAATATAGTAAAACTATTGCAAATTTATTTAATACATATTTTACAAACGTTGGCGTGTCTTACGCTAAACGCATTTAAAAACCTGATACGCCGTGTCCACCCAGATATCATAATATACGTACCTTTTTCTTAGAACCTGTAACAGAGATGGAAATTAAAACTATTATTAAATCGTTAAAACCAAACAAGGCACCTGGTCACGATGCGGTTTATGACTTCCTACTGTATGTCAGCACATTCATAGCGCTGAAACACGGTAGGAAATCTGAAGATCATGCCCGCTCTATGTCACTTTAAACCATACGTGAATTGTGTGCTACAGTCCAGGAGGAATTCATGAGCGTACAAAGGCGTAGAAGCAGATGAAATCCTACCTGCTGATAAAATTGTAATTATTTTTGAATGACAGAGTTGAATAGTTTTGTTATTATTTTGTAGTTTGGTTCACAAGTAAAAAATGGAGTTAATTCTTGCTACTGGTATTCTATATATTGAGTTGTTTTTACAATAGGTCTGATTATTAGAAAGTATTTTAAATACATTAACTTTATATTTTTAATATATTGGTTTTCTCTTGATCAAATGAAAAACCTAACAGAATATAATGTTTTTATTATATCAATATATTTTGTCAAACATAAACGGTCTTTACATGTATTAAGAAAATAAATTTATTTTTTAGCATTTGGCACATTACTGTTAATATTGCTTAGTAGTGAGTGGTTTCTTTTTTTAGAAATTCTTCCAGACTGAACCCGATTTCTTGTTTTTGCTCTTGCAGATGCATGTTTTCTTTGACTGATTGCTGTTGGTTGTACTTTTATTTTCCTACTTCTTTTAAACGTCATTTTAGTAAGTATTAAATCGACAGCTTGATTTGACGTAACGATTTTTTTAAGTGATTGGTAAGTGAATTCATTGCTTTTAAACCACCAGAACTTGGATTTTGCTTAAACGTTTCCACTAATCTGTTAACTTCTTTTCTTAAATTTAACAGTGACGCTTGATACTGAACTTCAAATTGTTGAGTATTTATATCATTCGCCAAATTCTCGGAAGGAAGATTCTCATTGCTTGGAATAGTGAAATACGTATTCTGTTTACTAAAATTGGCCACACTCTGCTCATGTTCGTTCGAACTAGAATTTGTCATACTTTCATAAAATGTTTCATCGACTTCTCCCAAAGCTAGTTTAGCAAACATAATTCGATCTTTAGTGTCTATCTTAGATGAGTTTTGGAAGACAAAATTATGCTGATTTTCAACAGCGTAAAGATGTTTGCAGAATGTTCCACTTTTTCCGGCGACACAATCACAAAACGCTGCATCGATGTTTATTGTAAAAAACACTTTATCATCTTTACTTGACGAAACATTGAATTCATGCGAATTTACTCGAATCACTGTTAACGTATCTTCTTTTTTTGCAAAATCAGAATAAAGATTGAGTTTGTTTCGCCTCATGTTAGCAAAATCCAGTAGCCGACGAAGATGGTACTTTTCAAAAATTGTGGTTATAAAGTCAATAAGTGCACACACATTGAACACACGGCATCTCTGTAGTATAACATCTTTCAGTATTCTAATTGAAGCTTCGGTGTAATTATTGGTAATATGGCCACGAGTAATAACATCAGATCTGTAAGCTATACACCAATCTTCTTTTCTTTTCCAAATTTCATTTAAATGAAAGCATAGTTTTTCATTTTCTTCTACAAAATTATTTTTCAATAAATCATTAAATCGAGTTTCGGCTTCAGTAGGTGTAATTGCATACAACAAATTACGAAATTCTAACATAATGTGGTCTTTTTGTTTTATCAATACCATGACGTCCATCGCAGAGCCAATGCCAAAAAGCTTGTGAGACATGAAAAGCACAAAGCAGTAATCGAGATTCTGGAAAAACAGCTTGAAGAGAATTCCTTTCAGCTTGACTGTCATCCGTCATAATAACACTGGGTTCGAATTTTTTTTCGAAACTGTCTTTTTCAAGTGCCTCTTTGATATTTGAGAATGCTAAAGTGTAGTTAGCTTCCGACTGTTCAGTGTGCAATACACAAGCTATAGGAATGGCACCCAGTTTATGAGCCGTAAAACAAAATGTTACATTTGTATTTGTCTGGTCACATGAACTAGTTGTATCCACAAACACAATTTCATCTGAAAGTCCCTTAACAAAAGCACGTTTCATAGTTGGTGTTATAATCACTATTATCCTAGGATTTTCCTTGAATGTAACAACAAAAGCTTCCTCTTCTAATTTAATTTTTCTTTGCATAATCACTTCATTTATATTTTGTTCTGCTCTGTCACCATATCTTGAAGTTCTCCATTTTTGAAATAAATAGTATACATGATTATCAATTGGATTCAAATGACCATTCGCTAAGTATGTAAAACTATCTGCCCCGTATTTTTCTATCATTTTCTTTTCATGATATGTTTTTGCAGCACTCGGTGTCATACCAGAGTCAAAATAAGTTTGAAAATTACGTTCAATATTAGGCTCGCAACGTAGATAACTAAATGCCTCAGCTACTTCAATAAGATGGGAATGTTTAAAAGATACATTTATTATAATATTGAGTCCCCTTTTTAAATTTTCGTCATTTCTCTGTGTAAACCTATTTATTTTCTTTGCACGAAAGTCTATCTTAGCCGTACATAACTTATTGCGACTCCTATCTTTAGTTTCTTTGGCAGTTTTGTTGTGCGATGAATGCTGACATACAAATGTTTTTCGAAAGGCTAATCGTTTTATTTTAGGGTAAGTATACCTTACAATCCAATTTGTTCGAGTGAGCAGCGAAAATTTCATTAACCACTCATCACTAAACTTGTTGTAATCGTTTTCATAACTGTCTTTTAACTTGCAAATAATATCCAAATGAAAAATATCGCGTGTTTCGTACTGAAACTTCGAAATTACGTGGTCGTCCCAAACTTCTTGAAGAAAATCACTCAAGTCTTGCTCGGAAAGAGTCATTTTTGTAAAAAGCTTTTAAACAACAAAATGCTAATGCTTTTTTTAGGTTATAAGTAGTGATGGCAACACGTTACAACTAAATGAAACACGCGGCCAGGCGGTAAAGTAAACATTTCAAAGTTTCGTGCGAATCGGCTCTCGTGTTGCCATGCGGTATGAATTCCACCTATAGGAAGAGCAGAAGCCTACTTAAAATCATACCAGGTGACAACACGTGTAGTACTTATAGGGTTAACACGCGCGTATTGGTTTATAAATCCCTACGTGATTTCTGCGCTAGCACGAGGTAGTATTTTATAAATAATTTTTAAAAAAAAATATGCATTTAATTCCTCCTGCAATTTAACACCTTTAGAGTGCTGACATACAGTATGAATTCATAAAGTATAAAAGCTGAAACCCTACAATATATTGTTGATGAAATAAAAATGCCTACGGCAAATTAAATTAATAGAATTTTTCAAACTGGAATATGTCCCTCACTCTTTAAGCAATCTATTGTAATTCCAGTTTACAAAAAAGGTGACCATAAACTGACTTCTAACTACAGACCGATTTCCTTAATTACTTGCTTAGCTAAAATATTTGAATCAACTCTAAATAAAAGACTGAACAATTTTATAGATAGATACAACCTTATATCGAGTAATCAATATAGATTTAGAAAAAGTGTGTCTACAGTAGATGCTATAAAAACACTATCAAAAATCTATAATTTGGTAGATAAGAGTATTCCTACAATTTCTACATATTTTTAGACCTTGCCAAGGCATTTGACACTGTGTCACACGCTCAATTGTTAGATCTTGGATGATCTTGGTATCAGGGGTATACCACACAAATTAATGACAAGCTACCTTAAAGAAAGAACACAAACGGTAAAAACCAAGAATTGTTACAGTGATGTTTTACATATTGAGTACGGGGTACCTCAGGGAACTATTTTAGGACCGTTGCTGTTTTCCTTATACGTAAATAGCCTACTCAATTTAGAAACATCTGGCGAGATATTATGTTTCGCTGACGATACTGCCATCATTTATAGCAGTGAAACACGGGATAATTTACAAAAAAAAATTGAAACTGATACGCAAAAAATTATAGAATGGTTTAATCACAACTTACTAACTGTTAATTTTGAAAAAAACATTTTTTATTACCTTTGCTGCTTACAATAACAGTATGCCCGATTATCAATTAATTACAATCAATATAAATAACAAGGATACAATAATAAAAAAAGCTAATGATATTAAGTATCTTGGCATTACGATAGATTGTAATTTAAAGTGGGACAAACATGTACAAAATATAACAAAAACACGAAGTTTACTTTATAATTTTAAATACTTAAGTACCATTTTAAGTGTTCATTACTTAAAAACTATTTATTATGCACTCGTTGAATCAAGGCTACAATATGGTATACTTGTATGGGGTGGGTTGTACCAAGTTCACTTAAAGAGTATGGAAATTCTCCAAAAACGATTTCTAAAATTATTATTAAGAAAACCTTTTCATTTTTCCACAGACCTACTTTTTCAGGAGGCCAATTTGCTTGATTTTCGTCAGTTATATTGCCATGCAGTTTTAATTTTCACACATAAAAATAAGGAAATCATATTACATGAAATTGATCACAAGTATGATACTCGTCAAAAATCGTCATTATTTGTTAAGACCCCGTTATTAAAAAAAAACTATAGGACAAAGATGTTTTACCTTCTTAGCTCCTAAAATATACAATTTTCTGCCAGAAATCTATAAAATCCATATAAGAAAAATAAATTCCTTATCCTACATTAAAAAGATCTTTAAATTTTTTTTTGATAAATACTGGTCGACAAAATATTCATGACTTAATTGAATTAAACTAAAACATCTAAATAAAAATTAAACCTAAAGTAATCTCTAAAAAAAATTAAAATTAAAAAAAAATCAAATTTAACCAAATAAGTGTAATCATTTTCATGCTTTCCTGTTGTCATCAAAAATTGTTCATTGCTTTTCATCTTTTTTTGTCATAATTTACAATTCGTTTGTTAATTCTACATTTCATCTGTCAATGTGTTTTTGCATGTTCTTGAAAATTGAAAATTGTGTTTTGTTATATTCTAATGCTTTTTCTTTTTATATAATTTTTTTAACTAATTATAATATTTATTAAGAACGCATTATTATTATTATTATTATTGTATTAAGTATTTAATTTAATAATATTAACTACTCGTATTATACTCATGTTCATGTTCATATTATTAATTAATCATTAGTTAGTCTACCAGCTAGTACAATTAATTATTATTCATGTATATTATTTACTATTATTATTAATGCACATATTTACATTTATTAATATTGTAATTTCTATTGGTATTATTATTAATCTTGAGTCTATTGTTATAATTATGAATTTTTATCAGCAATTATGGCGCTACTAATAAACAGGAGTAATTTCCGAGCGCAACCTTATGGTTTTTTTGGACTAACCCATGTTTATTTACATTAAAAGAGAATTTATTTGTAAAAAAAAATATATGTAAGAAGTAAAATAAACATTATTATTATTATTATTATTATAAAAAACGATTTGAAAATGTTCACTTTAAATGTCAGAATAAGAATAATATACTATTCACACTATTTTTATTGATTTTTAATTTAAAATAAAGTGTAACATCCATCACACTACTTATGGTTACAATAGAAAAAAAAGAACTAAAGTGTATAAATCCATCCACTACCGTTACAAAAATGATCGATGAGATTATCAAAGTTTAATCCTTTCCTATCCAAAATAAGGTCTTAACTTGGATGATTGCATTATGTGTCGTGTAGATGTACCGTTCAAGCATATTTTCTACCTGCGTAGTTGTCACTTGTCACGGTGGCCTACCCCTGCAAATGTCCGCATTATGAAAGGCTGTTTTCGGACACAAAAAATAACTGCTCTTTGCGTCTCTATTGTGAAAAGGGCGAATGATACATATACAGTGTTGGACTGTGTTGTTTTTAGTTGAATATATAAATAATTGAAATTGAAGTTTTTGTAATAAATTAATTTAAAATAATAAATTTAAATAAATTGTAAAAATAACATCCGAAAAAAAAGTTTTAAATGATTGACCATATAATATCGGTAGATGGAAAAATCGAAGTAATATTAGCAAACAGAGAAAAAAAGTCGATAGTTATGACTTCCACCAATTCTTCGTTAGGAACCACACTTGAGGAATTAAAATTCCAAAGTCACGAAAAGTTAGTATTCGGCCCGACAACAGCGAACTCGATTAAACTTTTTCACGACTTGCGTGTATCCTACTGACTGCGCCAGTTATAAATTCGAAAATGGAACTTTTATTTTTAAAAATTTTATTAAGTATAAAATACACATAAATGGATATCTGAACTAAAGCTACTTCAAATAACAGCTTCAAATAGCAAATAACTCATAAATTCAAATAACGCACAAGTTTAAATAACAACAATAGTAAGGTTCTACTCCTATTTATAAAGTAAAACTGAATATTATACAAAGATAATCTATTTATATCATAAAAGAGTCTATTATAATCACAATATATAACTCCTCCCTCCTTAAGTTTTAAAAAATATAGAACTATTTTTCAAAACATCTTCTGTGGAATTTTCTAATTCAATTTCTTCGTTTTCTTTCTTCTTTTTTCTAAATTTTCTTTAAAAGTTGTTCTCTGTATTTAATTAATATTAAAATAATTATGTAAATAAAAATTACAAAAATTGTTCCAAAAGTGCTTGAGTAATTAAAATTATTTTGAATTTCTTTAATTGGCTTTAGAAATTTGATTTATTTCATAAAAATCATTCAAATCTAATTTAGTTATATTAGAACTTTGATAAGATTTTGAAGTTTGAATCTTCTTCATGTCGATCTTCGGTAAAATAAATGGCTTTCCTCTGTTCAGTTGAATATTGTTGATGTATCTTCTTTCCTTTGCCCAAATTTGACAAGATTTTGGTATCTTGATTAATACAGGTGATCGTATGTCTATATATTGGTTACTGTAACATTTTGCAAGAATTTGTTCAGGTTTTGACGGGATTATTAGGACTTCATCTACTGCGATTTGTTCAAATACTGATTCTTCTAAATTAACATTTAAAACATGACAATTTGTCTAAAGTTCTTCCTTCAAGAAGTTGGAGAGTACAATTTTCTCTTGGGATGAAATTTTGTTGAAAATAATTGATTTCTTCAAGGGATGGACATTCTTCTCGTTCAAACTGTGTTTCTTGATGTTTTCGTGCTAAATAGGGAATTAAAGGTGTATACATTTTTTGGTTTTTGATAATTGGGAATAAATGATAAAATTCAAAGGTATTACTTTCAAAAATAGGAAAATGTATTGCAAAAATTAACTTGGACTCTGAAATTGATACTTGCGTTTCTAAGAACTGATAATACGTTAATAAATTTGTGAGTTTCGGAATTATATATTTTATGTAAATATTTTATCATGTCTTTAATGTCTGAGCTGGAAACTATAGAATTATGTAAAGTATTTAATTTTGCAAAGGTTATAGCATTTTCTAAATTATCTATAAAAGAAATTGCCATTTGACAATCTAAATTAATTTGTGATATAATGGCTTCAAAACTAATATAACTTTCAAGTGTATTAATTCTGTTATAAATAGCTGCTTGAATTTTTTCCATATCAACTTTAAATTTTTCTTGATTCTAGCTTAAGATTGTAATTGATTTGTTATAATGATCAACAAGTCTTTTGTACAACGAAATTTGAAGATTTGTTTCACTGATAATATTTTTTTGATTTTTTTTGCAATATTTTGATAGCATTAATATATCTTTCTTCATCATCAGAATCAAGATTTCCAAATAGCCATTTGTTAATTTTTCCAATTGCATTTATTAGAGCTCTTTTATGTCTTACATGAGGAATTAAATTATTAATCTTTTTCTGAACAGTAATTAATAAATATTCTGTTCTTGTTAACAT